TTTTATTATTACACGCACAAAGATTACAGAACATTTTTAATTGTTATTATTTATAATAAAGTAATGTTTTAGCATATCTATATGTATATGTATAATTTATTATAATAATTAATAAATCTATTAATATTGTTTGCTTAAATTTAATATCTAAGTTTATTTAAATGCGCAATCATTTTGGTGCTGAAATTAAGCCAATTTCATTGCAATTAAAATATAAAGTTCTATTTTCATGTTCAAGAATATTTATAATTGCTGATTTATTTCTATTTTTGCCATCCTTTGTTGTTTTTTTAAAAAAATAAGAGACTTGTTGATGATTTTTCTTTTCTACAGCTGAACAAGAAAATGCTGCTAAGCCAAATTTATGATGAATATACATTAATTCTGGAACATGATATACTAATACGTGTATATATGGTGTTATATCACTGGTTTGATAAAAATCTGATTCTAAAAACTCATATAGCCATTTTCATACATCTTTAGAAAATTGTATAGCATCAGTATTGGGATCTTTTATTGCTTTATAAAGCAAATAAAATTTGTTTCACAATTTTCGAATTTGAGTTGCTCGAGAATATGGAAATAATTTAGTTAAATTAAAATGTTGAAGTATAGTTAATTTATCTTGTCCCATTAATGAAGTATTTTGCCAGTAATTTGATTCAAGCCAGAAATGATATTTAACACCTATACATTTCATTTCTTCAACAATTACATCTCTTGCTTTATTTCCCCAGGTATTTTTTGATTTAAGCTCATCAACTACTAATCGCCAAAGAACATCAGTAATAGGTAACATTATATGTAGTTCGTCTGGAACCCAATTTTGTAAAGGAATCATATTAAAAAGTGCTAGCTTAATATGACTTTTATAAAATTTATAATTTGTACAAATTTGATCCATAGTTTTGCTAATTGTCCATTTATATAAAAAATCACCTTGCTGTTCTTTAGAAATTTCACACTATGGGCAAAAATATCTACTATTTGCTGCATTCATTTCTAAACAAGTTGCAAGAAATTTCCAATCAGATGAAAAATAAAATTCTATTTTTCATTTTATACCCAGATTATCATTTAATTTATCTTCCTTTAACTTTTTTAATTCGACAATTAAATGCTGTAGTGCAATATATAATGTTTTATATTTCTTATTGCCGGAATATAAAATTGTAGTATAATGACTTTCTGGCTGCTGTAATTTGTCTTTATTATTAAGAATTAAAAAAGTAAGCATTACATGCTTTATCTTTTTTCCAACATTTCTTCTGTCTCCAGATATTTTCAAATATATTATAGAATTTGTTATAATTAATATTTTTTCTTCAACAAGACTTGGTATAAGATATTTTAAAATATTAACAATACTTCGCCTTCCACCCATTCCAATTATTGATTGCATATTATCAATTATTTCTGTATCATTAATATGAATTTCTGAATTTATAGAATCATCTAATATTGGTGATGCTAAATTAATAGTTGAAATAGGTATAGCTTTATTTATTTCATCAGTTATGTCTTTTCTTTCTAATGATACTTTCCATTCACGTGGCAAATCATAGCTAATTGAAGCTAAAGTATGATATCCTTCACGTGTAATTTAACTTTTATCACAGGCTTTACAACATATTTTTTGAATCCCCTTGAATCCCATGGTTTTGTCTTTTTGTAAATTTCGCAATTTGATTGGTTG